GTGGGTTAGAATCCCCCTATATACCCTACTTTGTTGCTATCAGCAAACCTCGTTCTTTATATTCTGCTTTCGTAAGATGCTTTCAGCACATTAATGCAAATTAATAAGTGGTGCTATTAGCACATCCACGCCAATTCATTTTATGAATCTTCGAGGGTGCTTCTAGCACGCGGACAACTGAATTTGTTGCTCTTTTATTTCGCAAATCCTGAATATTTTGGGGCATTCTGCTCATTCGTTCTTTTCAGCGTATTGATATTTTTCATGCAATTAATCTACGTTTAAAGAAGTCAAAAGTTATCTACGAGATTTGCTGAGAGAACCAGATTCTGACGCTTAAATTCAAGAGTAATTCTGAATACTATCTTCATACAGTCCTGTTATTTTTATGTAATAAGAACCAGAAAAAATATAATTGAGTAACAAAACATTTTGGTCCTTCGAGCCGGATACAGAAAGATACTCTTGTTCAATATTTAAAAAATAATAAAGGAAGAAAAGTAACACTATTCTATTGGGGATCTCTCAGCAGATTCCGCTGTTTTCAATTTCATAATATTATTGTTCTCTTGTTTATATATACGCTTGTCGTTATACTGCATTAATCACTTTTACCTGCCTTGTTCTCCTAACATTTGTAATTATTCTTATGCATTTATATGTTTCAAAGTTCTGTGTTATGATATATCTATATGTGTATTTATGTGATTTGGAATATCGAACTTCCTATAATACATTCTTATCTATCTGTTCTTTGAGTTATATGTCTATCCTTTTTAAATGAAATCAATCGATTTCGGAAATTTTGATTCTTCTGTGTCGCTCATGTCTATTCTCTGATTTGTTGTTCGAAAATTTATAATTGTTGCGCCATACCGTCGCACTGAATTAATTGATTTTATACCGTTCGATTTTTTTGTCCTTGAGTAAAGGATCTGCGTTTTTTCCTTTCTCTTTTTTTTCCGTTGATATATTTTATCATTCACCATGCGTCTGAGTCATGTGAAGAATCGAGTAGAGCAACAAGCTCTGCTACGAGAACAGATTGTAACCGCGTACGATCAACTCATAAGAAACGGGATAGAAAACGTATCGCCTCAGCGAATTCAAGTGCGTCTTGAATTCCTTCGTGAATCGTGGAGCAAATTTTCAGTGATACACGATGCGATTATTTTAAGTATGAACCTATTAAGCCAAGAAGACATATCATATCTGCATAATCTCGATTATTTTGTTGACAATGTGTTTTCAAGTACACAGGAACGGTATTTAGAATCAATTGAACGAATAAATTTACTTATGGAATCAGAACAATCCTTGCACGGGTCGTCGACAACGCAACTAACGTCATAAAATTCACATAATTCAAGCATGCCTACATTTCTTCATCACGCAAGATTACCAAGACTTCAAATCCCCAAGTTCAACGGCTCACCAGCAGATTGGCTGTCATTCAAGGATCTGTTTAACTCAATTGTTATTGCAAACCCATCTCTTTCTTGTGTGGAAAAACTACAATATATGAAAACTAGCCTAACGGGATCAGCTGCTCAATTCTTAAAAAACACTGCGCTAACATCTGACAATATTCAGAAAGCCTGGGATGCTTTGATAGCTTTTTTCGAAAACAAAAGGATTCTAGTAAACTCTGCATTGTTTTCACTAATTAACTTAAAACGAATGACTAAAGAGTCCGCCTCCGAGATGGAAACATTGTACACAAACATTATGGAAATCTACAGAACGCTTGAAACCTTACAACGACCAGTCGCATCTTGGGATGATTTCTTAGTATTCATCGCGGTTCAAAGACTCGATTCCGACTCTGTTAAAGCTTGGGAACATCATCTAGGCCCGTCAAAGGACCCTCCGACATGGCAGCAATTCACCGAGTTTTTAATGACTCGATTACTTTCCTTGCAAGCGTTCGAAAAATCAAGAGGCACGAAAGGTCCTGCACAATCTCGCCAGATCCCAGTGAAGGCTCATTTTCAAGGAAAACTAAAGGATCAACCGGCTTTTAACTCAAAAACTTGTGGTATCTGTTCAGAAAATCATCATCCATCGAAATGTTCGCAATATGAATAAAAAACAGTACCTCAACGCATAGCACTGATTGTAAAGCATAAGTTATGTTACAATTGTCTAGGTCCTCATCGAGCAGCTACTTGTAAAATCACGAGACGTTGTATAAAATGTGGAAATAAACACCATACTACCATTCATAAATCTGATATGAAGCCTAAAGTTAATAAACCTGATGCGCTGAATTCGGAAAATCATTCCGAATCAGCTACTAAACCAATACAAAGTAACGTATTGCATTCTGCACTTGGAGCTCAATTCTCTCCATCAGAAGTTCTCCTCGCAACAGCTCGTGTCAATCTCTTGAACGATAGAGGTGAAAAGCGTAAGGTGAGAGTCTTAATTGATCAAGGCTCTGAGATATCTCTTATAAGGGAACGTGTAGTTCAGCTGATGCGAATTCCTAGAAAGATGACTGCTATTCCTCTCGTTGGAGTAGGAGGTGAACAGACGAATAAAACAAAGGGTCTTACTTCGTTTACCTTGCAATCATTACATGATTCACAATCTACTTGTAGCATTACAGCTCACATCCTGCCAAAGCTCACTACCCCTTTGCCTTCTGCAAAGATAACTACTACTGTATGGCCACACCTTGCGGAGCTCGAATTGGCAGATCCTGAATTCTCATTACCTGGCGCTATTGACATAATTATTGGTTCTGATTTCTATGGTCACATTATACAGGACGGTTTAGTCAAAGGAGTTATTAACTCACCGACAGCTCAGCGTACTATTTTTGGATGGATCATTTCTGGTCCGTGTGGCTTTCAGCCAAATCCTAATTTGTCGTCATCTGCTCCATGTGGCTTCCAGCCAACTCCTGTTGTGTCGCAAAGCTACCACGTTTCCTTTGACAGAGAATTACTTGAGGTCTTAAGTCGTTTTTGGGAACTAGAGGACATTCCTTGCTCGTCAAGATCTCTGCTTTCAACCGAACATCAAGCATGTGAGGATCATTTTCAATCTACTCATTCTAGAGATGAGAATAGTCGCTACATTGTAAGATTACCTTCTAAAGATTCAGTGAATCAGCTGGGAAATTCAAAGATTAAGGCTCTTCGGTTAATATCTAGGATGAAGAAGACATTTGAAAACGATCCCGCATATAAACGTACTTACTTCGATTTTATGAACGAGTATAATCAACTCCAGCATATGTGCATTGTTTCTGATCAAAAGTATGACCCCCCTCAAGTATACTATTTGCCTCATCACGGTGTAATACGAGAAACCAGTCTTACTACTAAATTAAGAGTAGTCTTTAATGGTTCGAGCCGTACTACCTCTGGATTGTCACTAAACGATAT